GTAAGTCACAAAATATTTACTCTTCATTTTGCATACGGTAGTAATTACTACGCGACGCGACGCGAGCGGGAGCGGGAGAGAAAGAGCGCAAAATTGAGTCAAGCTCAAAAGCAACAACACAGCGGCAAACAAATTAGATGCCGAACGAAGCAGAGACACGAACAGACGAACAGACACGAGACACGAGACGAGCCGAGTCGAAGCATAGCCGAGTTCATTGACCAGCCATGAACGAAATTTCAGCCCAGGCACATGTATCTGCGCGCGTGTGAGTGTGTGTGTATGTGCATTGCAACATTTGCTGCTTGATTTCACGGCAAAGTAAAAGTTGTGCTGGGCACACAAACACTTTGTTTAAACAAATTTCCATCCCACATCTCGCACACCCGCATCCCAGGCCCATTTCGAAATTGTGCCGAGAGTTGAATGAACGCACTTAACCCAATTCCATGAGCGAGGCCAACCACCCACCCACCACCAGCCGCTCTTCGACTCCCTCCCTCTCTCTCTCTCTCTTTCTGTGTCTTTCTCTCTTTGACAGTTGAGTTTTGTAATAATTTGTTTAAATTAGGCCTGCCCCGAAAATATTTACAGGAAATAGCCAGAGCAGAGCCCAGCGTCAGAGCCGCAGCAGTGATTATGAAAGCAGCGTGCTCGTTCGCGTTCGTTTGCGCTCTCTCTCTCTCTCTCTCTCTCTCTCTCTCCCGCGCGCGCGACGTTCATTGACTTCTGCTGCAGCGCGGCGCAGCTCTGCTTTCGAAAACGAAAGTGGTTCAGGCGATGCGTGTGCGCTGTGGTGGAGGGAGGGGGGTATGGGGGCTGGCTGCTTTGTAGGCAGCACGCAGACGCGGCCTTTGTGTAACAGTTATATTGTCGGTTTCGGGGCTTTAGATTTTTGGTATTTTGGGGGAAATATACCCACCAAATTTGAATTTCCCAAAAATATTTGCTGACCCCCACATTAATTTGGATTTTTGTATATTTGGTTGGTTTTCGATTAGTTTTTTAGCAAATCCTTGAACTAGTTCTAGCCACCCACCGACTGCAAAAACCCCACAGCTAGTGCCAAAAATACCATCGCACAAAAATGCGACCGCCAAGCAAACTCGAACTCGGCAACAGGCAATGAAATGAATCGAAAAAAAAAAAAAAAACAGAAAAAAACAGACGGGGAGGGGAAAAAAGCAACAAATTTCGAATTGTTTATAATAAAAATGACCGTGTGCTATTTAAGCGACGTCAACTGAGCAGTCGGCAGCGTCGCCGAGCAGAGCAGAGCAGCGCCGCAGCGCCTTGCCGCTCGCCCCTCTGGCCCCCCTTATCTTTCAAGGAAAATTCAAATAAAATATACCGAAACGAAATGAAGCCGTGAACGCTTTTTTACAGTTATAAAACCAGCGGCGCGCCGAGAGTGACCTAGAAAAAAAAAATGGCCAGCAACGAATTAATATTTTACTTTATTTAAAAAAAAATGATATTTCTCCGACTGCTTTCACTTTCTGTTTCACCCGTAATTGGGGGGGCCATTTCGAAACACTTTCTTTTTTCGGCTTTCATAATTTCTCGTCCAATAGTAATAGGATGGGGGAGCGGAGCGGGGGGGACAGGCCATTTTGTTTGTGTTTTTTTTTTTGCTATTGCAAAGACACGAAAATACAACGCAAGAAATGAAAACGAAACCGAAATTTGGAGCGACACCCGCCCCTGTGCCGTCCCCCGTGCCGTCCCTTTGGCTATCCCCCACACTCTGTCGCGGCGGCGGTGTAGTTCAATGACCGCCGTGCCGAGCCGCGCCGCTGACGTGCAGCGAAACTGGGTCACCAGCGGCAGCGCAGTCGGGGCAGTGAAGGTGGTGGAGACTGTGTATCTGTGTGTGTGTGTGTGTGTGTGTGTGTGTGTGTGTGTGTGTGTGTCTGCTCTGCTGATAGTAAACAACGAACAATGCACACACACGTACAGGGAGCGTACAAATATATCAGTATTTTATTTGTATTGTTTTTGTTTTTTTTTTGTTTTGTGTTTTCTCATTTTGCATTTGATTTTTGTGGATTTGCTTGGAAATTTATTAGTTCGCTTTGCCGTGGGCCAAATAATGTTATGTTTGATTTGTTTTTACGAAATCCTTTTTTCTTTTTACACACACACGCACACACACACGCACACACATATAAAACATGGTGATTTTTAATTGAAATGAACTTAAATTAGCGCGAGGTTGGAGGCAAATTGAAAGTAAATACATATGCAACACGAGCAACGGCCCGGCCCCGGCCCCAGCCCCAGCCCCGGCCCCAAGACCACAGCGATGGGGAGGGAGGCGCAGCCCCAGCGACTGGGTTTTTGGATACGATTAGAATATATTCGAATATTCTCGAACGAAAAGGCCGAACGGCATAGCATAGCAGGAGAAAACAATACTAAATCGAACAGTGTTTGGTATTTTCGTTGTACAAAAAAAAATACCAAGAAGAAAGTACCTACAATTATACAGAAATAAGGAAAGACTTCCTTTACTGATATTTTAGGAATGTTTGGTATTTTTATGGTATTTTTTTGGTATTTTTTTATATTTTGTTTAGTTTAATTTTGGAAAACCTACCAGTAGCTTATCTATACATTTTTTATTTGTTCTGGCATTTCTTTCGAGTACACTCCACCCCCCCATCCCCACCAACCCACCGACATTGTCTTGTATCTAAGATCTAAATCATAGCTAAACAAATATGTAAGCCCATAGATAGCCACACCTAAAACAGCAAGGGGGTGGGTTAGGAGGGGGCGGAGGGGGGCAGGCAGCAATTAGTTGCTTGGGTGTTCCACAAGCACATAAAAATAATCAAACAATTGTCAATTATCGAAGGCACAGCATTATTTCTATATAGAAACACACACACACGTATCGTATCGTATATATAGGAGTGCGCTGCTGTTGTTGTCGCAATCATTATTATTTTGAGGCTACACACACACACACACACACACACACACGAGCAGCAGCAGCAGCAGCAGTGGAGGGGCAACATGCATGTAGATTTCGCCTTGCCTCGTCCGAGCAGTCGCGGCTGCGAGAGTGTTTTGAACTTTATTCAGGTCAATTACAAATACATTAAAATGCCAGTGCTACACACACACACAGGGACAGACACACACACATGCTCGTGGCAAGCTGTTGACTAAAATAATATTGGAGGCTATACGAACAAAAATTTACAATAAAAACGAGAACAAGGAGGAGACTCGAAGCAAGGCAGGGGTCTGTTCTGTTCTGTTCTGTTCAGGTCGGGTCTGGTCTGGTCTGTGGAACTGAGGAGGCAAGGAGGCAAGGAGTCCAACCAGCACTTTGCAACAGTTCAAGGAGCCTCCCTCCGTGCGAGTGGGTGGCTGGGGCAGAGAGGCTTCAAGTACAATATGCTAATGATGATGTTGTTGCTGGATGATGATGATGAGTGAGTGGGTGGTTGTGGGTGGGTTGTGGGGTGCTGCTCGAGGCTGTTCCAGTTGGTGAAGGTTTTCGTGGGGGGGGGGGGCGGTGGAACCACTTGGAGGTTGAGCAACTGCCGTTGGAAGGCCTTCCCTCCCCCACCCCATGAAACCTTGAGTGAGGCTCTCTCTTTAGAAGAGAGGCCTTCCTTCCAGATCATTCCCTACCAAAAAAATAAAAACATTATTATACAATTATCGCCTAAGTGAAATCATTTCACGCGAAACGAAACAAAGAGGGAGAAAGAGAGACAGAGCGACAGAGACTGGACAGAGAGAGAAGACTGCATCAACAAATTACTTGAGCAACGGCAGCTGCTCGACAAGTCTCTTCCCTCTCTCTCCCTCTCCCTCTCTTTCTGTTTCTTTTTTTTTGGTTACATAAAGTTACGCGTGCGTATGCTTTTGTGTCTGCCTTCACCTGCCACCAATTTTAACGGTGAAATTGCAAAAAAGAAAAGAGCGCCAAGCCACAACAAAACGAAGCCAAAAGAGATGCAAACCAAAGGCAAAGGCAGAGGCAACGAAAAGAAGCACAAGAAAAGAAAAGAGAAAAAAGAGTAGCGCAAACGTAACAAACTTGTTTTACGGCTGCTGGCAGCGACGCTGGCGTCGCCTACTACGCAAGTTGAACCTTCAAAAGGTTCATTTACCTCGTGCCCGAACGGGCGTCGGGCATCGGGCATCGGCCATCGGCCATCGGGCGCCCGACCAAAACACGAACCACCGACAGCAGCAGCAGCAGCAGCAGCAGCAGCAGCATACTTAATGTTGAAAGAGTGTGGGGGGCGGGGTGGAGGGGTGGTGGCGACCAGAGCGGGAGAAATAAAAAATGTACTTTCGCTTTTTTCAATGCCTCGGCGCCAAAAACTAGTTTCGAGCCCCAAAGCGGAGAGCAGAGAGCGTAGAGCAGGAGCATTGCAGCAATTTGGATCTGCTGACGTCGTCGCCGCCGCTGCCGACGCTGCCGCCGTCGCCGTTTTGGGCCACAGTTAAACGACCGAGCAGCGGCAGAGTTCAACGACTTTTGTAAAATTTCTCGAAGGTTTCGCATTGCAACATCAGCGACAGCGACAGCGACAGAGCCAACTTGTTCGAAGCTGCATTTGCATTGCTCTCTCTCTCCCGCTCTCTCACCCGCTCACTCGCTGTGCTGTGCTGAATGCTGTTCATTGCACTCGGCCTCGTTTCGGTTCTGCTCGGGGCTCGCTGCCTGGTGCAATTTTTGCACGACGCCGACGTCAGAGCCGAACCGAATGTGTCTGAGAGAGCGAGCGGTTCGCATGCATTTGTCGCCGAGTGCAGCGACTTCTATTTGGGTCAGGCACGGTCATTCGCCTCGCTGCGACTGCGACAGCGGCTGCGGCAGCGCCGTCAGCGCCTTGCATTTGAATATAATTATACACGAAATGGAATTATTTTCGTTGCGTATGCGCCTCCGCCTCCGCCTCTGCCTGGGCCTCTGCTTCTGGCTCTGCCATGTGCTGGAGCAGCTGGACCGCAGATGGGCGATCAGATCA